GTTACTAGTTAGTACGTTACACATCTTTCTTCACTAGCTTTTAACCTTAAATTTTAGTAAAAGATTTTGACATATTGTTTATTCCAATACTCTCTTCTAATTTAATTATCGTTTCCTTGTTTAGTTTTGGAGCTTACCCATAGCTTCATGCTTAATGGCTAGTGAATACTCCTACATCCTTTGCCAAGATTGTGAATACTCCTACATCCTTTGCCAAGATTGTTAACATGCTAACTAATATTTTTGATTCTTGAGCCATTATTTCGAAGCCTGGTTTTGTATGTTGTGTGTATTCTCTTCTTTTGTTGAAATCACTTTGCTGTTTCATGCAGTGTCATGTAACAAATATGATATTTTATTTCTAATGACAGGTTGGAGGCTTTGAGAAAGTATATGAGATAGGCCGGATATTCAGAAATGAAGGCATTTCCACTCGTCATAATCCTGAATTCACCACCATAGAGGTGAGGAGTTTCCTCAATTTTGCTTTGGTCTTTTGTTGAAAGCATCCCTGCAATATTGCGTCAGGATTTTATTATGTTACTATACTGAACGTTTCCATCATAATGACCAATAATTAATCGCATGGCTTGATCTTTAGATGTATGAAGCATATTCTGACTATGAAAGCATGATGAATATGACAGAAGAGATTATAACACAATGTGCTCTTGCAGTTAATGGGAAACTTACCCTTGATTATCAGGTATGCTCTTTTTATATTTGTCGCGTTTCTTTTCTTGTTCCTTTTTTTTTTTTTCCTCAATAGTAAAGTAGTAGTGCTTTTCTTTAGATGAGGGAACATATTTTGCCATTACATTTGTTTTCAAGCATGTCAATAACAATTTCATTTGGCAAAAATTCAGTTAAATATCGTTGAATTTCAGGTTTCTCACTCATTTTAATTTTAATATATGAACTATGTTAACAATACACTCACTCGTACAAACACATAAAAGAGTACAGGAATCAAGAGGATAAAGAAGTAGGTGCTGCCTTCGTAATACTGTCAATAATATGGTTAAATACCTGTCAAATAATATAATCTGGAACAATTGTGGACCAAGTCAAAACTATTTGCATTCTTATCGTGGAAACATGTTCTTGAACCTTTTTTTTTTCTAGAGGTCCTCTTGTTGTAAAAACTGTGCAATTTTCACCTATGCTTAGGACATGTATTTATAGAAAAAGAAACTGAAAACTTTGTTGTGGATTCTGCAAATCTTCCTTGCAGGGTGTGGAGATCTGCTTAGAAAGACCTTGGAGGAGGGAGACAATGCACAATCTTGTGAAAGAAGCAATTGGGATTGAATTCAACAAGTTTGGTGACGATCTTAATGCTGCAAAGAAAGTTGTACTAGAGACACCAGATATTGTTAATGATAATCAAAACAAAAATTTGATCGAGGCTTGCACATCAGTTGGCCATGTTCTTAATGAGGTTATTTCTAAGAATCTGAATTCTATTTCTGGCTAATCGTTATGAAAGTAGTAGTTACTCATCCTGTTTGTGGTTTTCTGGCTGGAAAATATGTTTGGTTGTAAAATCGTTCATTGGTGTTCTTGTTCTTTCCTAAGCTTCTATTCATGAAATTCTGCTTGGCCTATATTTGGCTCATGTTTATAAATACTCAAACCCACTTTTTATCCACACATTTCGAGGGACTCACAAGTACTAACACTTATCCACTGCTCATTTCTATCTATTTATAATTTAAATTGTTCATAAAGACTTTAATAAGTACTTCTGTTTTGTTCTCCAGGTGTTTGAAATAGTTGTAGAACCAAAGTTAATGCAGCCCACCTTTGTTTTGGACTATCCAATTGAAATATCTCCACTGGCCAAACCCCACAGAAGGTGATGATGCATCTAAAAAAGTTATTTTGGTGCCTCACTTCACATGATGAACTTTTCTTTCAATGTATTTTCCTTCACCCGTTAAATAAAATTATGAAAGCAAATGATTTTCAGCAGATTGATTTGTGGATATGCTATTGCAACAGAATGTTGTGGAATATATTACTTTGTGTCTTACCTGCAGGCATTCAGGCTTGACGGAGAGATTTGAACTCTTCATATGTGGCCGCGAGATGGCTAATGCTTTCTCTGAATTGACTGATCCGTTGGACCAGGTATTATGTGTAGCTGTAAATCGTAATGAGATGATTATACTACTTCTATGCACCTCTATCCTTTTTTTTTTTTTTTTTTTTTTTTTTTTTTTAAATTGGCTAGTGTTTTAGGATACAGTCTGTATTATATGGAAATGACGGCCTCATAAATTGTCTTGGTAAAAAAGAGAGAAATTGTTGACTTATAGTCTTCTGCTCATGCTGTTTGCTATCTTCCTTTTCAATTAAAATGTTGGGCACTGGTTTTCATGGATTTGTTAGAAATAAGGAAAAAATAACAAGGCACAGACAGTAATATTGGTAAGAGTTCATACTTAAATTGAAATGGTTGCAGAGAGAACGGCTCGAAGAACAAGTAAGGCAGCATAACAATAAGAAAGCAGCGGCAGTTTCAGAAATCTCAAGTACAGAAGATGGGACTGAGAGGGCTGATGATTCCTACGACGTGACTCTTGATGAAGATTTTTTAACAGCGCTAGAATACGGAATGCCTCCTGCATCGGGAATGGTACGCTTATCAAGTTTCTTCTTTAATTAATTAAATCTAGAATTCAAACTCGAGATTTTTGTCATAGGAGCTCAAAACGTTCTTAATATTACAGTCATACATTCGATACATGTATTTTTAAGAAAAAAGTGATGGATATACTTAGTTTTCCAGGGGCTTGGCATTGACAGGCTAGTAATGCTTCTTACAAACTCAGCCAGTATACGCGATGTGATTGCTTTCCCTGTCCTCAAGACTCTGCAATAATCTTAGAAGAATATGGCGATGCCAACCAGCCCAGATGGATCCTGTCTTTTGATTCAAGGACAAGCTGGAGATGCCTTGGAATAAAGTTTTGGTTCTTCTGCTGACCTCCTGTTGGCAGCTAATTCAACTCCGTTTGAAAACTTATTAGCAGATTAAGAGTTTCTTTTAAACATTATTGTTTGAATAAACTTTAAGTGAATACTACTTTTACTTATATTTGATTGTGTATGACAAAATAATATTAAGTCCTAGTCTGAGCTATTTTAATTATAGAGAGGAAAATATGCTTGTTTTATGCAAGTAGGGGTACACTTCTATTCCTCTAAATTTTGATGAATATGGGTTCTAATTTGTTGAGCATGTATTGAATTTAGAGCATTTGCAAGCGACTCTTCATTTTTAAAGAACATATTTAACAAATTAGAGTATATCTATATATTTAGAGGGAAAATGTTGTATTCATATACACTCTTCATATTTGACACTTAATTTTACTACTTCAAAAAAATATTTGTTATTTTTCTCTATCTTTTATTTTTACTAGCTTCTCTCCAAATTATTATATTATATTTTGCCATTGAAAATTGAAATGCTTTAAATGTATCTAGTGTGAGCTTGGCTCTAAACTAAAATATTAATTTAAAGAGTTTTTTAGAGCATAATTTTAAGAGTCAACGTTTTAAAGTAGAGATGATCTTATGTTTAAAGAGTATATTGAAAATGTTTTTAAAATCAATATTCTTAATATTAATTTCAAACATTTCATAATTTGACGATAGTGGTGAGTATATTACAGAAAAATATTCATTGAATAAGGATAAGTAATAATAAATGTTTAAAATTATACTTGTATATAGTTTTTGTTTGGTAGGGAATAAAATAAGATTTTTAGTAAATTTTGATAAAATTTCATGAAATATGTAGTCGAAAAGTTGAGAATTCTATAAAATTTATGGTTAAAATTAATTGTTAACTTTGATTTTAATTTCTACAATACAGGGGCTTAAACCTTTGCAATAGACAAATTGTATTGTTTTTAGAAATTTTCAGTGATAACAATTATTTTTTTATTGAGAACGATGAATAAAAAGTGTAACAATAAATCAGACAGTGGGAAAATGATTTATGCAGTAAAGAGTTAATTACTGGAATGTGGGTGAATTTGGAATCCTATGATTAACATTAATCGATGGGTGGTTTACATATTTTTTTTCTCTATTATTGTTTAATAATGCACTAAAAGATTCGATCTTTGCTCATTGTTAATGCTCAATCTTGCTTCGCTGCTATATATGCAGGTGCTCGGGTACTTTTCAGGCAATGAAAACCAAAATAAATTCAGTTTTGCTACTTGTACAATGCTCCTTTACAATCTTGGTTTACAATGTGAGCTGGCAGGGGCAAAAAAGGAAAAACACGTATTAATGAAAGGGAAAATAAATGCCAATTTCTCCACTGACTTTTCCCCAAATTTGGCTGCAAGGGATTTCTCCATCGTTTTTTCCCCAAATTTGGCGACAGTGCAAGGCATTCCAAATCTGAAAATTATTCCACCCCCGGTGCTCTCATCCCGCGTCCGGCCACATTGTTGCCCACACCCATGAATATCCACTTGCTACGAAACGCGAAAATTGCCGCTACAAATTTTTCCCCAAATTTGGCGAAGCCTCAAGCATTCGAAATCTGAAAATTTCCAGAAACCTAGTGCACTCATCACGTTCGGCTATTGCGTTGCAAACGCCTCTAAAGATTGACGAAGAGGTGACCGTCTCCTTCTTCCAGCCAGCTCACATCTGCGACATCAATTCCACCAAATCATATACTACACAGAAGCTTTCGGGTATATTGCTCTTCTTTAATAAAGTATGGGTCCGATGATATTTCCATTAATCCTCGACTATTTCACATTTTTGGTAGTTTTGCACGAAGGAGACGACTGAACCCACATGCCTTTGTCTTGAATCTTTTTTAGTTTTTTTCGGTCATCGTTGGATGATTTTGGGTTCTGGGGTGTTATAATATTTGTGTTCCGAAGTTCGACTGACCGATGATCAAGTGCTCCAAATTGCTGTGAATGTGTCGATCCATACGGGGAAATCAAGCACTGAATGGAACACCAAAGGCAAGGGCACCGAATGGAACATCAAAGGCAAGGGGTCGGCTTGATTAGCAGTGGTCGTTGGATGATTTTGGGTTCTGGGGTGTTATAATATTTGTGTTCCGAAGTTCGACTGACCGATGATCAAGTGCTCCAAATTGCTGTGAATGTGTCGATCCATACGGGAAAATCAAGCACTGAATGGAACACCAAAGGCAAGGGCACCGAATGGAACATCAAAGGCAAGGGGTCGGCTTGATTAGCAGTGTTGTGTTGCTTAATTAGCTTAGTTGTCTAAAATCTTATGTTTATGTGTAAGAGAAATCAGTGTCAGCTTGGAGAATTTCTGAATTTAATGCCACACTGTGTTCATGTAAGGGATCAAAATTGGTAGGCCTACAAATTTCTGAATGTAGTAGATTTCTATGAAAATATTCCCTGAACGTAGTAGATTTATGACTACCTCATTGGCTTCAAATTCTTCGATACTTTTCTGGCAATTTTTTTCTATGTGATTTTGTTGGCGGTTGCACACTTCACTGCATTGGCAATAAAATGATAATAATGATTGATTCAATTTCAATGTAAGTTTCAGATTTGAAGTCACTGGAGTTGGTAACAAATGGAATTTGGCAACCTCACACTGTCATAATTTAGGGGCAAGAGGATGATAAATCAACAACATATCATATTTAGCAACTGAAAGATTTCATAGCTACCATAAATTCATCTCCATAATTTATCAAATACACTTCACGTGAACCTTCTAGTACCACTACAAAAATCACTACAGAGATCAATTTCTATTGTTTTGGGATACAAACGAAATCGCTACTAGTACCACTAGCTGAAAAAATGGAGCCGGATAACAAGTTAGAAATCAGCCATGTGCATTCCCTCAAACACTTCAGTTGACTATCAAAACAGCCGGCCTCAAGTCCTTTGATGCAGTAATTTCTGTCAAATTATTGTACAAGTTAGCCATACCTTTAAAGTGCAATTTATAGTGAAAAATTTTCCTGAAGTTTCTCAACTAATTAAACTGAAAGACTAACGGTTCCTAAACTTAATTCACCAAAACAGAGACCCATTCAACTAAACTGACTCGGATAACAATTCAAGATCCTTTAAAGCATATTGAACCTCATTATCAATGCACAACTGTGTGGAAAAAGAAATTACCAGCATATGTACTCTACCAATAAAGCCAAACAGAAAAAAAAATACCACACTGGCACAATTTACTTGATCTAAAACACCAGTTTCTCTTGACTTACATCCCCAGAAGTTCAGTGCAAAGAAAGATATTATCCTGCTCCTCAAATATGCCAATTCATCCATATGAATTCATCCCAATTCATCCATATTAAACTAAGAACACCGAAGTAGTAAAAAAAGGGTGTTGTACCTAGAAAATGTAGGTCATCAAACAGCCTTCCCAAAATTCAAATTTATTTTTGGATGCATTAAACCTGATCAAAATAGTTGTCCCCATGATTTGATGAGTGTGGATAGTAGTAAGGATGTGCATGACCCCCTTCATGACCTTGAGAATTGAATGTCGGATGGGTTGACGACAGATGGATCGATGTAGAAGTCGACAATTGTTGTCCAAACACTTGGCTTTCATGGTCACCCTACGCCGTAGAAGAAAGCGCAAATGAAACATCATACATATGTGATTGTTTAATTAAATTTACTAACCAACAATAGTTGCGAGTAGGAGAACGGTATGGGCATGGAAGATGGTTGTTGTTGATGTGCCTCAACGGATGATGCACCACATGGCGGACAAGTACGCCTTGCAGATGGTCTTTTTCCTTTCGATGCAACCTGCATTTACAGTGGAATGAATGAGATATAGAATGTTAAGAATACATTTCAATTGAGAGGGTTACACATGAAGATACCTTCAGTTGAAACTCTTGTGCAATGGAATCCCTGCCATGTCGTTTACTTCAATTTTTCGTTTCACATGTGCGCTTATTTCTCGGTTGCATCTATATAACCTCGACTTCGAAGGACTTGTCTTATGATTGTGGTTGAGCTGTACTGTTCTAATTACCCAAAAACCATGATAATCAAAAGATGCAGAAATCCTGGCTTTACAACCTGTTTGACTTGTTGGTTGCGGGTTCAAAGAGCCACTTGTGGAACCGCTTCATCGTCCTTCACGACTACAAGTCAACGTTACATATTGTAGAACTCCATCATCATCTTTCTTCGAATTTCTTTTCCTGACATGGAAACCAACCTTGTAGGCATATCTCTTATAGAAATCATAAACTTCATTTTCGTCCTTGAACTTCATACCCACCTCTGGCACAATCACACCATCTCCTCCTCTCATTTCATCGGGTATATAGCTCATATTGCCTTCCACATCTGCATTTTCCGATTCCAATCTTGAATCATCTCCCATTGCTTCCATAATTTCACAACCTGTGTCAAAATGAAATGTCTTGTCAAAAAAAAAAAAAAAAACCTCAAAGTTGTAAATAACATTGGATTATGAAGGGTCAAATTAACTCAAAGTTGAAGTATATTTTCATTTTTGCATCAAAAAATTTAATAATAATCGATGTTTCATATTTCTTATTTTTTACAGTTCGGGGTTCATAATTAATGCATTCAGGATTTAATATTGATAAAATGACCGATTTAACATTACTGTAAGGGATTTAACATAGACAAAATGTGAGAGTCCTTATTTTTATGTAACATTCAGTTACATAAAAATGGTTTTGCAATTTTGTTTTATCTTTGTTTATAGTTTATTCAGTGACATTTCCTTATTTTTCCCATTTTTATGTAACATTTCCAATCGAAAGAATCCTTTCTAATATGAAGCAGATTGTACTCTGATGAAGACTTACAACAAAAAGAAGATCAAAAACTTCACATGAAGCCTTTCTATAAACAAAATCTGTCTTGACTCTAAATTAACCAGTCAATCATGCTAGTTTCTATCTAACTTCAGTATAACAATTACCAACTATCATAAACAACACAAACCACTAGTTATAGTTACACAGCAAAAGTTAAAAATAAAACTAAGCAAGTTCCCACTCATGCAGAAAACGTAAACTTCGGCACTTTTCTATATGCATAACCAAGAGGAAAACTTCATTTCAATTTTTTCCACCAAAATCACAAAATCTGCGAGGTCTATTTTTTGTGTATGAACATAAATATCAAGTAACATTGAACAAACAGTGCATTCAAACCATGAACATCAAAGTTTTCATGAAAA